CGAGGGGGAGTCGGAGTGTGTGCCGGGCGCCAGCCCCCTTGAGGAGAGGGCGCTCGTACGAGGTAGGTAGCTCCACGCGTGGCCCTTAAAAATGGTGGAACGTAGTGAAGGGTTCCTACCGAGCGACGTCTGTTTGACCCCCCCAAAAAAAACCCAACGTTTCTTTTTGACGCGCGGGCTAACCAGCATCACTCGGTAGTTCTGTTCCTGTTACCTTCCAGCTGTTTCTTGGAAGGTGTGAGAGAGAGAGAGCGTGCGTGTGTGCTCTTCAGCTTGTTCCATGCCCCCGCAACCCTTTGGGTAAAGAGATCTCCTGTTCTCGGATTTTTAGGTGCACATCCTGGTGTAGTTTCCACTTGGTTTGTGCTTCACTGTTTATTCCTGTTAACTTCCTCAGCTCTGTTCTTTTTTTTTTTATCGTTTTCTCCAGTTCGGGGGTTGTGGGAGAGCCGGGACCTATCCCAGCATGCAATAGGTAGATGGCGGTACACACCCTGGATGGGATGCCAGTCCATCTCGCACTCGCACACCAGGGCAACATGCAAACTCCATAGGGATAGTACCGCAGGCCTGGAGTCGAACCTGGAGCCCCAGAGCTGCAAGGCAGAATTGCTAACCACGGTGCCATTGCCCTGCCCCTGTGACCAGAATGACATTGCACCATACCATCATAGTTTTGGGGTTTCAATACCATTGGAGCCTTCAAGACCTTTGCAGGACTGTGTAGTTTTAGTAGGTTGTTCCCAATGTGTACAATTTCTCTGCTTGCTGTTAACCTGCATTTGTTGCAACAAGTTTTGAAGAATTGTGCCCATCGTAGGCTATTTTCTGTAGCTCTGGGGAGAGCTGAAAAGTTCTGACTGGTTTAGAGGCTTTTTTTTGTACCTCCTAAAGAAGATTTTGCACGTCACTCTTGCGGGTTTTTATGAATGCCTGTTACTTTTTTTAGGCTCTCTAATGGATAAGCGGAAATGCTCTCAAAGGCGCTCTTGAACCAATTTTAATTTTCGTTTAGCTGCCGAAACGAGGAGGGACCTCAATGGCGTGGCTGAGAAGCTGGAGGAGATCGTTGATTCTGTGCAGCTCTGTCCTGCCGAAACGGAATCGGATGGGATTGAAGGTAAGTTTCTGTGCAAAGCAACATTTTTATTTTTACCCATTAGAGTTGACGTGTGCATAAAATACCTTTTTCGAGCATAACCCGAATCTTAATCTAACCCCAAAGGCCAATACTCGGAACGCACAGTCTCTGATCAATGTTGGTCTTAAATGTTCAAGAAGACTTATGCCAGAAAATTGGTAAATGTGGGTGATAATTGAAATCTGATTTGAATATGAAGGGCATTAACTGTACTGTTAAATTATTCCTGAACATCCAGCGTTCCAATACACCCCTGGTTATAAGTGTTGCCCCCTCTCTTTAAGTCATCCAGACTAAAGTGTTCGGGTTCATTGTCCTTAAGATGTGCAGCAAAAAATTTAGAGACTTAAGATCTGTGACCGCAGAATGTTTTAATGTCTGTTTTTGAACAGATGAAGAAGACTATGCTATCCAGAGAGTGGTGGAACTGTTAAGAGAGTCTGGAGACCAGCTGGACGAAGAGGCGAGTATGATCGTTCGTTAAATGATTCCACATATACCCCCAAGTATTGCATCGGCTACCTCAGGAATGACCATCGCATAAGATCCTCTTGTTTTGATGAGGGTTCTGTGGTCATGTTGACAGCCGGGCGGTCTGATAGTTGGCCTTTTAGATCTTGGAAAGACTTCTCTTTTTAAGCTCATCTGGTCTTTGGACGATTTTTCTCATGCTGTGCTCAGCCCTCTGCGATTTGCGTTCGAAACATTGACATTTTAAGTGATTTTTGTTTTTACGTTGGTGATTAAGTACCTCATACAGGAGAACCAGATCCCAGGTTGGTGTTGGAAAATGTAACAAGTACGGCTTATCCACCAAGTTCTCGTTCTGGATACCTGTAACTGCTGTAATCTGTGTTGGTATAGTACGGGTTTATTCCATGCTGAAAAGAGACAACTTTTCTGACGTGGCGCCTTCTTCGGGTGTGAAGAAGGCGGCTCCACAGCTGAAACATTGTTTTTCTTCACATGTTAACGGAGCTACTTGTAATAGTACAGTAAAAGGCACTTATTCAAGCCCTCCTAATTTGGTGTAGCTATTTCTGTGTTCCTGTTGGATAAAAGAGGTTTTTTTTTCCTTGTTCAAGATCGACAGTGATTTTTTAATTAGTTATGATCTTTTATTTACGTAGCTTTCCAAGTAATGCCATCCATCCAGTTTCTAAAAGCCTCCTCCGGTAGAGGGTTGTCGGGAGCCTAGCCCGCAGAGCACCGGGCGCAAGACAGGATGCATCCTGGACAGGATGACACGCTGGCCCTACTGCGACTGTGTGCATTTGCATTTATCGGCCTGCCATTAAGTTTTTGGACTCGGGTGGGGGGGGGACCCCTTTTGATTTTGGGGAGACCATGCAAACTCCACACAGACAGCATCCCAGATTTTGAGCCCAGGGCCTCGGCACTGAGAGGCAGCAATGCCGCCTGCTGCGCCACCCTTGCAAAACTCGTATCATTTGCTTGTGCTGCCAGGTTGTGCAGGTATGGCCTGTTCTCATATAGCCCACACTAGGGCTGGGTTAAAAAACGGGGTCTCGCTGTTGTGCCGTTGAAGCTGTGAAATACAGTGACTTCTGACCAGCTCTCATGAAATAAGATTAATAGTGTTGATTTTATTTAGTCTAAAAAATGGTCATGCAATGGACCTGCACCACAAATTCATCCCCTTTAGGGTTCTGGGTGTTTAAAGCCTTTCAAATGAGCCAAATAGCACCTAGGATTCATCCCCCCTGCAGCTCCCAGCTGACACACCCCACTGGAGCCCAGCAGGTGTGAGCCTGGCCAGTACCTGGAGGGGAGACTCCTGGGAAAGCTGAGGCTGCTGCTGGGAGAGGTGTGAGTGGGGCCAGCAGGGGGCGCTCACCCTGCGGTCTGTGTGGGTCCTCATGCCCCAGTATAGTGACGGGGACACTAGACTGTAAACGGGCGCCGTCCTTCAGATGAGACGGAAAACTGAGGTCCTGACTCTCTGTGGGCATTAAAAAATCCCGGGGTGTTTCTCAAAGAGTTAGGGGTGTTAACTGTAAAATGCTTTGACTGGGGTGTCCAGGAAAGTGCTATTATAAGTGTAAGGATTATTCATTATTTAGGAAGGACATGGCATATATAGATGGACGAGCTTCGTTTGCTCGGCCGTTGAGAGCATCCCTCCAGATAAACTGGTGGTGGTGGAGGGGATCCCCATTACCTGTAAAGCGCTTTGAGTGGAGGGTCCAGAAAAGCGCGATATAAGTGTAAGCTATTATTATAAACGCGACGGAAGCAGACCGCCTCTGATGGGGCATTTTTGGTGTGTGTTCCCTCCTTCCAGATCAAGAAGGACAAAGTGCTCTCCAAGGCCTTCCAGAACCTCTTCAGCTACGCCTTCTTCGCCAGCGTCGCCGACCTGTTCCTGATGAGGACGGGGGCCGCCGCGGACGCGGACCAGCAGAGGGCGAAGATCGCCCTCACCGCCGAGATGACCAGCAAGCTGACGGCCGTCGATAACCACCCCATGAACCGGGTCCTGGGCTTCGGCGCCAAGTACCTGCAGGAGCACTTCACCCCCTGGGTCCAGAGCCAGGGAGGATGGGTGAGTGGAACTCAGGGGGAGGTGCCGCAAGGGGAATCTCTTCACTAGAGTAGACTAGTGGAGCTAGCTGGCAGCTGTATCGCCCTGCCCACTGGAGCCCAGCAGGTGGGAGCCTGGCCAGTACCTGGAGGGGAGACTCCTGGGAAAGCTGAGGCTGCTGCTGGGAGAGGTGTGAGTGGGGGCCAGCAGGGGGCGCTCACCCTGCGGTCTGTGTGGGTCCTCATGCCCCAGTATAGTGACGGGGACACTAGACTGTAAACAGGCGCCGTCCTTCAGATGAGACGTCAAACCGAGGTCCTGACTCTCTGTGGTCATTAAAAAAATCTCGGGGTGTCTCTCGACAAGAGTAGGGGTGTTACCCCAGTGTCCTGGCCAAATTCCCCCCCCCTGGCCTTTACCCCCTCATGGCCTCCTAATAACCCCCCCTCTCTGAACTGGCTCCATCCCTCTGCTCTCCTCCCCACTGAGAGCTGGTGTGTGGGAGAGGACTGGAGCATCATCCAGGTGGGGCTGCACACTGGTGGGGGTAGTGGGATTCCCCCTGACCTGGGAAGAGCTCTGAGTGGAGGGGCCAGAAAAGTGCTATTTACATTTAAATTTAATTTGAGTTATTAAACAAACTGGAAGAAAACAGAGTGGGGGAATGCTTATGCAAAAGATGCAATTTGGGGCAGCGGCTTTAAATCTTGGGGAGGATATATCATTGGAGTGCATGGGTTTATAATCAAGGATGTCCTCCTCCCTCCTGCTGGAGCTCGGTGGAATGGGCTAGAATTGCCATGGCAACCGGTGGCCGTGACAACACGCTCTGGTGTCTTTTGTAAGCGAGGTTAAGCAGCTTCTTAATCGGAGCCTTAATTGAATCTATCGGATGAAGGTGGGAGGGAGTGAAAACCAGCAGGTGTGTGTGTGTGGAGCACCAGGCCTGGGAACCAGTGCCTTACAGTTGTTTTGTTGTTTTTTTTTTCCCCCCTCAGGAAAGGGCTTTTGATGGCACAGAAGACGATGACAACGACGAAGTCCAGTAAGGAGAGACGCACTCTTCGGCGGTCGAGCCATGTGAATGACCGGGTGTTTTACAAAGGACCTGAAAACGGGTTTCACCCCCAACCAAAACGGCTTCAGATGGCTCTTTCTCAGGGTTGTTGCTTCTTGCCCCTGTAGGGCTTTGTTTTTTATGGCTCCGGAGGGGAAACTTACTCCGGAACCCTACCTCCGTTAAAACCTGATGGGTGCGTGCATGTGTGTACTGCCACTCTTGCGTTAACAAAGTTTACATGTCTGATTGTGCCTCAAGAGCCGTTTTAGGCCTGAATTTCTTTTAACTAAGGAGCAAGGAGGGCTTTGTTAGAGTCCCTTTTTTTTTTTATTTTGCTCAACTCCTTGAAAGCGGGCTTTGTTGAATGTCTACTAGCTTGGTGATCTGCCGGTTTTATCTGGTTGGTTCTTGGAAATGTCCGAGAACCTTTTTAAGCGACTGGGGGGGGCGTGTTGACTCTGTAAAGTTGATTTTTAATCACCATTTGTCTTGCTTTCTGCACCACCCTGGTGTTGGTGGTTTTGAGAGACTTCTAGTGTGAAAGCTGAACCATTCTAGGGTTTTCTGCATCTTGTAGGGCTCATGCGTAAGATGTTATGGGTGCAATGTCTCGAGTGTGCCTTGATTACTGAAATCCTGTCTGTTGACAGGAGTGAGCTGGTAGGGGCGACACGTTTACATTCCAGCTGACCTCTGTAATGCACAAAAATCTAATGTTTATATTGAAGGGGGTGACAAGGAATGTTAGCATTTTTTTCGAACGCTAAAAAAATAGTGACTTGGTTTTTGTAGAAAGCTGTGAGTAATGAGTGTCTGAAAGGGGGTGGGTTTGAGTGGGGTGCACAGTGTCCCTTACCGTGCATGGTACAATAAAACTATCCCCACCCTGTGTCACAGTGCTGGCTGGGTATGTGAGGGAGCCTTAATTATCATTTTTGTAATGATACAACTGTCCACTGAGCTCTTCCATCTTGAGACTGAAAATATTTTAAGAGCAGATCTCTTGACGTGACCTGCAGACGTCCCCTTCCGAAGCTCCTGGGGAGGGGCCATGAGGTTTGTGGGATTGCTCGGGTCTTCCATGAGCACCTCGGACCACAGTCTTCTCCTCTCCCCTCCAGTCTCGTTAGTGGTCTATTTAGGTCTAGGTTTGGTATTAACTGGGCATGGGGCTGTACAGTGGGTAGCACTACTGCCTTCCAGCACTGGCACTGTTGGGTGCTGTCTGTATGGAGTTTGCATGTTCTCCCCATTTGTTTACAGGGGTTTCCTACCCTAGGCAAAAGACATGCTGGTAGGTTAGCTGGCCCTGGGGTGAGTGGGTGTGTCTGTCTGCACCCTGATGGCCTAGTATCCCTGTCCTGGCTGTTTAGTGCCTTGAGCTTCTTGCTTGCTGGGATAGATTCTAGCTCCCCCTACAGACCTGGAACTGAAATAAACCAGTAGAAAATGGATGCATGGATAAAAAGCGAAATCTCCCCCTTGTGCATAGTTGAGGTCTTTTGAGAAGTTCTTTATCTTGGCTTGCTAGAAACTTCACCCCGTTTCTCAGTTTCATTCAAATGTCTCTGAACACTCATTCCGGACTATTTGTCAGATGTGCTGCCTTTGTCCATCGGAGCAAATCTCCGTAGTCTTCGAGCTCTGAACACTGGAACGGGCCGCTTTTAGGTCCGGACTACAAATATCCAGGCTTCCTGTGCCAAAGTCGGCCTCTCTCATCAGAAAAGAGCTAATGGCACAGAACTTCCTGACATGGGGCAAAAATACTGCACATGTTCTGAGTATTAAACGCTTATTGCTTTATTTTCCTGGAGATTGAGTGGGATGGGATTCACAGCGTGCATGTGTTTATAGCCAACTTTAAGGTTTTGAGATATTAACTGTGAAATAGTGCACACACTATGCAGATGCCTTTTGTCCCCAAGGCACATAGACATTATGGGACATAGAATATTTTTCCCCTCTTTTTAAATTGTGTCATATTGGCTTAATGTTAACTCTACAGGTGGCATAGGTGCAATTTGCAGAATTGAGGGCACTTGCTTGTATAGCATCTTGAATCTGCATATGTGATCAGCACTTGAAACGGACTGGTCTTATTGATCCTTCTGTATGAAGACGTTCTCAATTCAAATATATGCAGGTTTGGTTTTTTTAAGACCGGGTTGGAAAATTGCATTAAGAAAAGGATGAAGGTGATATTCCTGGAACTGCCAAATCTAAAACAAAAAGATGGTTCTGTATTGTAAGTGCATTCGTTTTAAAGTATTCCTACCTATTGCAAATCAAATGAAGTTCAATGAACAGGCTTGTGTTCTGAAATGGAACAGAGGTGTTTTGATCCATCTGCCAATGTGCTGAATGTTTTGTATAAACATGTTTTAATTTCCCGTTAAAGTGGGAGACAGACTGAGATAAATTGTACAACCTAATGGTGTTAGTCCAATTTCAGGGATGAAGCTTTTTTTAATAGAATAAATCTTTAAAACAATTGTCCATTTTTTGTATTTATTTTGTCTCTGAGGTGTTTATTCTGAGGATGGGGTCACAGTTGTCCAAGAGCATAGTTTTTATTCTTCCCCACTGTTTTTTT